CTTGTGGTCCTTTCTTTCCTTGTCTTTTCATACTGCTTGTGTATCTTTCCTGCAGGTGCGGGCGGCGGCTCTGCTCTCTCCTTATTCCAATTGGGGTGTCGTGGCTACCACGCCGGCAGGTCACTGGGCCTGTTCTGGGCGCTGGCGGCGGCTCTGTTCTGCCCCTACTCCAATTGGAGTGATGAGTGTACCACGCCGGCAGGCCACCGGGCCTGATCCGCCGGTCGGTTGCAGGTTTGCCTACCCTGCAGGCACGGGCGGCGGCTCTACTCTGCCCCTACTCCAAATGGGGTGATGTGTCTGTCGTACCGGCAGGCCACTGGGCCTGTCCTGCTGGTCAGTCGTAGATCTGCCCACCTTTCGGGCACGGGTGGCGGCTCTGCTCTGCCCCTACTCCAATTAGGGTGTCGTGACTACCCCGCCTGCAGGTCGCTGGGCCTGTTCCTGGCACGGGCGGCGACTCTGCTCTGCCCCTACTCCAATTAGGGTGGTGTGTGTACCACGCCGGCAGGCTCCTGGGCCTGATCCGCCGGTCTGTCACAGGTCTGCCTACCTTGGAGGCGCGGGCGGCGGATCTGCCCTGCCCCTCCTACCACGCCTGCGGACCCCTGGGCCTGATCTGCAGGTTGGTCACAGGTCTGCTCAACCTGTGGGCACGGGTGGCGGTTCCGCTCCGCCCCCACTCCAATTGGGGTCACGTGGCCACCACACCGGCAGGGCCTGATCCGGGCATGGGAGAAGGATCTGCTCTGCCCCTACTCCAGTTGGGGTGACGTGTGTACCACACTGGCAGGCCACTGGGCCTGACCCACCTGTCTGTCACAGGTCTGTTTACCTTGCAAGCGTGGGCGGCGGCTCTGCCCTGTCCCTCCTACCACGCCCATGTACCACTGGGTCGCGGGTCTGCCCACATTGCGGGTGCGGGTGGCGGCTCCGTTCCGCCCCCTCTCCAATTGGGGTCACGCGGTCACCACGCTGGCGAGCCACTGGGCCTGCTCCGGGCGCTGGCGGCGGCCCGGCTCCTCCCCTCTGGCTCGACGACAAATTGAGGAGACTCGGGTGTCTATGCCTCACCCCCCCTACCAGGAGACCAACTGTTTCTGTCGCCGCTGGTATTGATGAAGTTCTCTCCTCCGCCGCTTTCTGATGACATCAGATCTCTGCCATGTTGGTATTCTATGCGAATGGCAGCATTTCGTTCCCCTTGCCGGGCAACCAAAGCTACGGGTGAGTCCTGACCGGCCCTCAGCAGGACCCGGACTGAGAAGCAGTTTCCGTGGGCTCCTAGCCCTGGGCCAGGGCAGTTCCGGGAGCCGGAACTCGGCCGCTCTGTGCTCGGTGTAAGCTCCGATAAGAGTAGGCTCCAAGAAGCAGTCCCCGAGGTCTCAGTTCCGGGAGCCGGAATTCGGCCGCTTAGTGCTCGGTGTATGCTCTGATAGGAGCAGGGTCCAAGAAGCAGTCTCCGCAGGCTCCCCAGCCCTGGGCCAGGGCGGTTCCGGGAGCCGGACCTCGGCCGCCCCGCGCTCCGTGTTCGCTCCGATATGATCAGGTTCTAAGAAGCCCCCAGGCACTGAACCCTAGCAATCTGTCTGCAAGCCGCAGGCGAATGGCAGCCTGAAATTACCTGTTCTATGGCTGAATGAGCTGCGGTCAGTCGAAAACAGGTATGGTGATGTCAGCTTTCCAACATGGTGGCTGCTGGCCTCCTCTGTGGTCTGACCGGTGTGGAGAACCGAGATGGACCGCTTCCTTCCCCCGTCTCGAAACCAGAATTCAGCCCTGAGTAGGGTGCTTGCACGGCTGGCAGAAACTGCAGCGCTGTATCCCTGCGTCGCTATCTCCTCGTTTCCCAGCGCGCTACAGACTCTAGCCGCAGGGCGATTTGCTGAATAAGCAGTGTTACCCTCCGTGCGACAAACCTCTCGCGTTTGAGTCCCCGTAGCCGATCCTCGTGCGATGGAAATCCTTCCTCCAGGTTCCGGAGCACCCCACTATTGCTGGAAATTCCTAACAAGATATCCTTTAGCCGTCCTGACTTGTCATACTCCCACACAGTGAAGCAGCACACGGGGGCAATGCACTCCCCTCGCCGCCATCTTCCAAAGTCTACTTACTGGTTTTCTTTGTGGTAAAATTATGCCTGAGGTTCCATTTGCAGAAATCCAGGGCTTTTTCTATAGTCAAGGTGTATTTTCCAGTCATAACCAGTTAAATATTGAAATGACTGTAGCAAATATTCCCATTTCATACACTGAAACTTCACACATTTGCATCGGGGCTAGAAAGGCCATTAAAACGAATAAGAGAATCACAGTATCACAGGACCCTGGAGTGCTATAATAGAGAAATATTGCTCCAAATTCCATTGAGACTGTAAATTCTATCCAAATTCCAGTGGGAGAATGCTAAATTCTACCAGAGAGCAAAGGATAATGAGCAAAGCCATGAAAAAAGTTATCTACAGTGTTTTCCTATTCCCATTGAGCATGGTGGGTTACCACTGAGATGGAAGCCTGCTTCTCCACTGCCAGACAAGACCAGCTAACACCAAGGGCAAGTAGAAAATCATGATGAAATAGGTGAAACTTGGTGCTTGCTCAGTAATAAACATACTTTTAACAAGACAGCACATTCCTGGATTTTCAGCTAGGATACTTCTCTATGAGCCTGCCTCCTTTCTAGAATGTTCCTTATCCAGTGATATTGATAATAGTATTCGAGGGTAAGGAAATAAGACTTAGTTTCACTTTGAATTTCCCTTTCATCATGATGATCAAGAGGAGAGGACTTCTCTAGACATACTCTCCATTCCATTTTCTAGGTTATATAAAAACTTTGGATGTTAAGAAATACAAATCAAAACTTCTCTAAGATTTCATCTCACTCCAATCAGAATGGCAGTTATCAAGAATACCAACAACAATAAGTGTTGGTGAGGATGTGGGGAAAAAGGCACACTCATACAATGCTGGTGGGACTGCAAATCAGTGCAGTCAATATGGAAAGCAGTATGGAGATTCCTTGGAAATCTGGGAATAGACCATTTGACCCAGCTATCCCACTCCTCCGTTCATACCCAAAGGATTTAAAAACAGCATACTACAGGGACACAGCCACATCAATGTTTATGCCGGCACAATTCATAATAGCTAAATTGTGGAACCAAGCCAGATACCCTTCAGTAGATAATGGGTAGGGAAACTTTGGTATATATACACAATGGAATATTACTCAGCATTAAAAGAGAATAAAATCATGGCATTTGCAGGTAAATGGATGGAGTTGGAGAATATAATGCTAAATGAAGTAAGCCAATCCCCCCAAACCAAAGGCTGAATGTTTTCTTTGATATAAGGATGCTGACTCATAATGGCGATGGAAAGGGAGCATGGGAGGAATGGAGGAACTTTAGATAGGGCAAGGGGAGGGAGGAGAAGGGAGAAGCCAAAAGGGTAGGTAGGAATGATGGTGGAATGAGATAAATATCATTACCCTAAGTACATGTATGAAGGCACAAATGGTGTGAAAATACTTTGTGTAATCAGTGACTTGAAAAATTGTACTCTATATGTGTGATATGAAATGAATTGCATTCTGCCCTCATGTATAACAAATTAGAATAAATAAATAATTTAAAAACCTAAAACTTTATAATACCAACCTTTCAGATATGATCCGTCCTGTTATTTGGTTGTTAGAGAGAAGTTTTAGCCTTCTTTTAGGGAGAAAATCATGTTCAATTACAGAATATTTTCTAGTGTTAATTAGTAGAGTTGGTTAATTTTTCAGTTTCTTTTAAGTATCAACTTATACCTGTTGGAAATTTATTTTCTCAGATATTCACCTTTTTTGTGCTTAAGATTATAATAGCTTCTCCAAAAACTTTAAAAATCCTATCACAAAATTAAACTCATAGAATGCAGATAAACTCATAGAATGACCTTGTAAATGAGACTCACATACCCATAGCAGAATAGAATTACCAAGACCAGGCATAATAATGGAAGCATAATTCTCATTTGGATAGTTCAGGTGATAGAAACATTTCCTATAATTTATCAAAAGTGTTCCTTCTTCTGTCCTTGTTGAGGAAAATCTGAATTGTGGTTTTTTTTCTGGATTAGAAAACATGAATGATATATTAGATAATATGCTGATAGACTTCAATGATATTTAATTCCTACAGACAGCTTCTGATCAACTGCCTAATAGTCTACGGAATTCTTAGCATTCAAAAGCACAGAAGGAAGCAGCAATCCCTGAATTTTCTTTGTAGCAATTTGACATACCTGAAATGTATGGGTCTGCATTCTGTTTTAATGCAATTATTGTTCCTTGCCCCAAATCTACTAGCTATTTAAGGTAAATTATATCCTATCCTATGACTCAATGTTTTTAGCTATTGTTTGAAATAGCTTTCTCTTGGTTAATAAAGATAGATGTGAAGATATATATGTATTCTTGTATGAAGATCTATGCTTGTGTATATATTTGCTTATATAAAATATACATGTGCACATATGAATGTGTACGTATATTTATAAATATATATCTTTTAAATCTTAAAATTTAAATCATATTAAATTTATTGTTAAAATGTTTAAATATTTTGAGAGCAAATGGAAGACAACTAAAGTTAGTCTAATGTAATATTTGATTGGAGGCTATTCCCAAAATTAATCAGAGGGGGTGAATAATGTTCTTCACCATAGACTTAAAACTACCATTTAAAGAGGAAATGAAAATTTCCTTTTTTTTAGTGATTGAATTTTATATTCTGATTTTTAATATAACGCACATCTGAAAGCTAAGTTTCCTTTCTTTGTGCTCCAATATATCATAAATGGTGACTATTTCAACCCCTGAAGAATAATTGTGGCTAATTTGTGGGTGTTTAAAAAATGTGTGGCTTAGGTATTTTATAACATTCCTGTGAGGACAGTTCAGTGTATCAAATAAGAGCATGCTTAAGCCAACCTAGAGACAGATCCTTGCCATACCTTCATGGGAGCCAGCTGTATGGGTGTAATGCAGGAAGGGTCCACCATGGGCTTCGGCCTGTTGGCTGTGTCTGCTAACAGGCTATGCCACTGCTGGGGAAGGCCAGTAAATTTCTGCTCTTGTGGATCAAACCCTGTATGAACCCTGTGTTCAAAGTTGGATGGGCCAGATATTTCAATCTTTTTCTTTTTCTTCCCAAACATGATGCAACAACCTGGGAAATACAAAGAGAATACAGGCAGCTGTTTATATTTTGCCAACAAAAGACCTGAAAGAGTTACTTTTACTTCATCCACAATTACATTTTTTTCAGTCATACCTCTAGATACCAGCTGCAAAAGATAAAAGTTAGGGATTGTCAGGGTCTACGGATTCATTTCATTCAATTTTTTTGTTCTCTCCTCAGACTCTCCATATATAGTTCCCTGCACCACTGACTTTGGATTTGGCCTGTAACCTGCTTTGAACAACAGACTACTGATCAAAGAATCAATAAACCAGTTTGGGTGCTGGTGTGTTTCTCACTTTCCCCCATGTGTTCCAGCCACTTAAGATGATGCTCTGCAGCAGATGATGCTTCTTCAGCCTCAGCCTTAGAAGAAGAGATGTATGAAGTGGACACAAACCAAATTCAGAGTGAAGACCAGGCAAGCCTAAATGATCCACTGTTCAGCCACAGCTGACTCCCAGGTGAGAAATGCATGTCTGTAAGTCAGCCACTAAAATTTTAGACTTGCTTGTTCTCAAGGTATTATCAAAATACCTTGTTCAGCAAAAGCTGAACAGTATGCCAGGAGAAGCATCTCAAAGTTTGGTATGCACCTAAAATCCAAAAACAGAATATATATAGGTGAAAAATGGCTAATAATAACATTTACCATATAGTTATTGTTAGAGAACTGAACAGGTAAGCATTTGTCAAACACTTAGAAAACACCTGGAACAAAGTATGTGCCACAAGAACTAATTATATACCTCTGGGAAATACACAAGAAATTTGACTGTCATTGTAGAGAAGAGAATTCAGGGCATAAGCCAGGGAGGAAGATTCACTTTTCGTTGCATATTGTATTTAGAATTTTGTACAATGTATTTTATTTAAAACAATACAGTTTATCTATGTAAAATATATCCAGTGACTAGAATATCTCTAGAAAATAAGTAAAAGGGGTATGTTAGGCTTTGTGGTATTGAGAAAATGTAAGAGAACTCGGGTTTGAATGGTGGGTTGGTCACCTATCAGCTGTGATTTTGAGTAGTGGCTTTTCCCTCTCTGAATCTACTGTCTGTGAGTAGGATAATCATGATCCTGTTGGGAATCCTCTACACAGTGTTGTGGACTTTATAAAAGATGATGTTTTGGCTTAAGAGTTGCTTTGCTGCTGAAGCCTTACCTCAGCTCTTAAATTGGAATACGTGCGTTATACATTCTCACTGTTCTATATACATATTCTTCATGGCATTCATCCAACTGTGAATAATGAAATGTGACAGTGTGTTCAGCGTCTGTTTTCTCTCTTAGTATGTAGGGTCCTAGAAAGGAAGCTGTCTACTTATTCATTACTGTTTGCTAATGTCTGCCCTATTGAAGGGCTCCAGAAATATTGGATGACCGACCCAAATCACCCAGTATGTTTATGCAGTATCCATGTATCCAAACATACAGTATCCCTGTATGTTTATGCATGTATCCAAACATAAAAATATTGGATGACAGACCCAAATCACCCAATATGTTTATGCAGTATTAGAGGTTCATGCACATTAACATCTCCCTTCATTTCCTCTTTCTCAATATTCTACCTTCCTTTGTTCTCCATTATGGTGTCAATTTCTTTTTATCATTTGCTGTTGTTTTTCAGGCAGTGTTTTCCTTCTGCCTTCCAGTTTTATCTATCCTCTGCCTGGATAAATATTTTCTTACCAGTGATCACAGACCATTCATAGCCTTGAATTCCCCGACTCTGTAGAAACCCATCCCATTCATCCTGGTTGCTACTTCAGACTAATTTGGGAAACTAATGAAGATGATATGAGCTCAAAATACTCTGATGTATTTTCTCTCTTGAAAAACTTAAGTTTAAAAAAGATTAAGTACTGTATACCAAGAAAACTTATAAACATAGCTTAGATGATCTTAACATCTAGGTACAATTAGGCCAAGGTATAAAGAACTACAAAAACCCAGGGGAGGAAAAGATCCACAATTGAAGAAAAGATCCACAAAGTCCATGCTCTTGAATAGGCCTCTCTCACACTGACTCTGGGAAATACAATTTGCTGTAGCCAATGGGACAAAAGGAAATGTGAATGGGTAGGCACATTAAGGTTTGCCCTCTTGCTGCTCTTGGAGTTTGTAGCCCACATGAGGATAAGAGCAGGCTTTCCTGCTAAAATAAAGATGCCATGGTTCCTAGCTATTTGTCATCCCAGCCACAACCGGCCAAGCCCCAGAAGCCTAGTTGTCCAGTTGACCTGCAACTATTCACATGAGCAAGTCCCTGTCAAAACCAGCAGCAAAACTACCAAACTGAGCTGGACACACAGGTACCAATTTCCAGAATCAGGACATAAATAAATGCTTGTTGCTTTAAACCATTATGCTTTGGAATACATTGTTGTTTAGAAAAAAGCTAAGGCAAACATCTGACTATCATCTCATACCTTGCAGCTCCAGATGCTCATCATTTTTCTTTTTCAATTTTAGCTGCTCTGAAATTTCAAGTATGTCCAATCTGGGCAACTATATTAGCTATCACATAATTGCCTTAACTCAAAGGAGTCTTGATTCTGATACTACTCTCTGGTTGGTTGAAGGCCTGCAATGTTTTCAGTGACAGAAAATTGTACCTAATTAGAGACTCTACATGACATCCCTTGGTTTTATTTAGTGAACATAAAATATACTCTCAAATATAATTTAGCTATTTGTTGCTAAGTCTACTTGACATTTTAGTTATGATCATTTTGAAAAGAAAAATAGGAATTATTTCAGAAAAAATCATTTGAAAAATGTTCTGTATGTGTTCCTATCTGGACAAGCACTGAAAATGCTATACCAAAGATTTTTAGAACCAGAACAGAAATGTCTTGCTATTCCCTTCCTTGTTGTGAATTTCCCAGTGGTTGCTGTGCCATTCAAGCAAGACTATAAGAAGGCAACTATCAAAGAACTAACATTTCCCTGCTTTTAAATGAGAGAATTGTAGAGAGGAATTTTACAGAAAAGGAAATGGATGCTCAGAGTCCAGATGAGAGAATGGCAGAACTGAACCTCAAAACCTCAAAGCATATGCTTTTAATTATGGAGCAGTGTTATCACTGCACTGTACTTACCTTCTCTGCCAGAGACACCATCCTGCCTTTCCTATGGAATCTTGTGGGAGAGAATGATGGGTGTTAATAAAGCTAACTATGAGATTTTGGGTCTTTTGTAAAAGACCCCTTTTAGGACATTACAAATTGCATTGCTGAGCTGGTAAGACTAGAGATCATGCTAAGTGAAATAAGCCAATTCTACAAAAACCAAAGGCTGAATGTTCTCTCTGATATGTGTATGCTAACTCACAATGGTGGGGGGGGGGGGCAGAATAAGTACTTTGGATTAGACAAAAGGGAATGAAGGGAAGGGAGGGGGAATGGGAACAGGAAAGAATGAATCGGACATTATTATCCTATGTGCATATATGAATACACAACCAATGTAATTCTACACTATGTACAACCAGAAGAATGGGTAGTTATACTCCATGTATGTATAATATATCCAAATACATTTTACACTCATGTATAACTAAAAAGAACAAACAAATAAAAGTATTTAAAATTAAAAAAAAAAAAAAACATTACAGGGAGCTGGACAACTCCTCACAGAGAATAAAAGAAGATCCTTGTGATTTAACATCCATGCTTATAATCCAGAAAATCATAACACCATTAGCTTATTTCTTCCTTAAACCAATGATCCAAAATACAGAGAAATACTCCAGACTTCTCTCCAACTCCGTATTTTTGCAGTTTCATCTCCAAACTCAAATCTTGGTTTTTCCTACTTGCTCTACCTGTTCTTTTACATATATATTAAGAGATACCACAACCTATCAAGTTGCTGAATCCAATTTTGGGAGTCCACTTTGATTTTTCCACCTCACTCATCCTGCACATCCAATAATCACCAATTCCTATTCATTCCGCCCAATGTTTACTACATCTGCACATCTCATGGCGGTCCCACTGAATTAGCTTCTTTCTGCTGCTGTAACAAATTACCATAAATTTAGCAGATTAGACTAACTTATCTCATAGTTATGGAGGTCAAGTGTCTGAAATGAGTCTCACTGGGTGGCAATCAGGTGTTTGCAGGTTGTGTCCCTTTCTGGAGGACCTAGGGGTAAATCCACATCTTTGCCTTTTTCAACTTCCAGTGGTCACTTGTGGCCCTTGGCTCTTAGAATCTGACTGCGAATTCAAAGCCAGCAACATTGCACCTGTCTGCCTCTTTTTCCATCTCATGCGTTTTCCTGTGTCTCTTCTCTTCTGCTTTTAAGGATACTTGTGATTGTATAGGGCTTAACTGGATTATCTCCCAATTTTATTGACAACTTTTTAGCAATGGCAGTTTCATCTGCAGCCTCAGTTCCCCTTTGCAATTCATGTGACACATCCACAGCTACCAGGATTAGGATATGGACATACATGGGGACATGATTTTGCCTACTGCACACACTACTGTCACTAGACTATCTGTGCCACCATCATTTCTCCCCCAACTACTACAAACTCATCTGAGTTACTAAACTTGTCCCCTTCCAAAGGGTTCTCCACCAATCTTCCTAAAATGTAAACCTGTGTCATACTGTTTCTCCTAACCCTTTTCTATGATTTCCCATTGACCTAACCACAAAACTGAAATCCTTATCTGAGCTCCCAAGGCTTTCTGAGGTCCAGTTGTTGATACATTTCTAAATGTGTTGCCTAAATCCCTTCTCATTATTATCATAACTTACTAACCTTCTTTACCTTAAAGCCACACCCTATTCCCTCTACCTTCTACCTCCCTCTTTCCCAGTCTCCCCACCTCATCTCAGCTCTGCCCCTATGTCTCCAATCTGGTCTCAGATTAAGTGTCACTTCAGGAAGGCTACCTGTGAATCTCAGCAGACCTTTCTTCTTCTGTTGCACTACAGCCCTTGTATAACTATTGTGCTACAGAAA